AAAGCCTTCTAAGTATTGTGAGCAGTGTTCATCAAGCAGGAGCTAACTTCATTAATAATCCAGACAGAGAATTCTGGTACAGGGCATTTCAGGTAATTTCTTTTCTGTTTTGGTATCTAACATCGCAGCTGAGTACATTTGCTACTGAAGGATTTCCACAGAGTTTCTCTTTTCTTCATTGCAAGTTAAAACAGGTTGGAAGTAAAAAAAATATTTTCTAAGATGAACCTCAAATCGTTTTCATTAAACATCAACAACATTCCTAACTGAATTATTTTCTTGGAGGAACATCCTATGTCTGTTCCACCCAACCATTTTTAGGTTTTGCGTTCTGAAATTTCCAATTGGCACTGACTTCTTTATAATAACTGAAAAGAGAGAAGGGGAAAACAAGATACAAAAACCATTTATTGCGATACAAGTTATTAGACACAATGAGTAATCTCTTATGAGAAGAACAGTATGATATTTTTTATTAGTAGTAAAGAGAAGAGTTCCATTCTGACTTACCTGGCAAAGTTCAGAAAATTGCAACATACTATTTAACCACTCAAATATGTATCTTCTCCCTGAGCAGCCTGTAAAAGTTTCCTCTGTGGTTAAAGGCCAGGCTTTCTTCATCCTTTCTTCACTGTAAGCACTTTCCTTTTCTCAAGTAATATTGTGAAATTCTTGACAGCATTTTTACTTTTAGTCTTCCAAGTCCTACAAAAGCTTCTCTTACATTAAGGATGAGAATGTTGCTTTATCAATTATTTTAAGAATACTCTGAATGCAATTGGTTGCAGACTGATTGTCTTTTCAGAACTGCAGTTTTACTTACAGATAAGTTAGTAAAATACTATTACTGCATCCAATCTCTCTTTTACCGACTAAGGAGAAATCGTGTAAATTGGAATTTAGTTTTAAAAGTCTAATGTGGCATGACATAAATAGCTCTCATGACAGCACAGAACAGAAAAAAGAAAGATGAATATTAAACTATGTGTAAAAGTTGTCTTTATTGCTCTGTTGTTGTTTTGGCTTCATTCTGAGATGTGTGGAAAGCTACAGAAAAGCCTAAGCATGTTTCTTGGCAGCTCTTTGTAAGCAGCAAACCCTGTGAAAAGTGAATGTGGAAAACCCCATGAAATTCATTATTTTGCTGAAAAAATAAGACTAGGAAAATGTTGCATGAGACAAAAAAATGTTTTGCTGTATTATTTTTAAAACAATGAGCAATGCTGGTGAAGGGTACAAGGGAAGTAGTTTCATAGGGACAGAATACCTTTTCTATTGTTTTGGGATTTTTTCTCTCTCTTTTTTTTTTCTTTTTTTTTTTCTCTTTTTTTAAAAAAAATCATGAGACAGCAGCAATGGGAGATCCACCTGTTAGTGCTCCACCTGTCAGTACAACTTGGTTCTAATCTGAAAGTTGCATTTTTTGGTGGCAGATCAGACTGCTTCCTTCATCTGTCTAATGCTTCCTTCTCCTAAACAAACACTTAACTACTGGCACATTACCACCACTTAAGAAGTTTGAAATGCAGTGCCCACACAGCTGAGGATGTCTGTACCTTTATGAAGGTACCCTCTTCTTATCATACCTGAGTTCTGTAGACCATAGAACATTATTGACCTAATACCTCCAGCTACTCTGAAAAGTAAAATCTGATGGCATAAGTGGTTTCCTTCTTGTAAATCTGACATAGTCTTAACCTGTTCTTCTTTGGGGTGCATTACATGTTGATCTATTCTCTTTGCCTTTGATGGAGAAGAGTAAGTGTGCCTTGATGAAACAAAAAACATTATTTGGTACTAAAAAATGCTTAACTGGTTAGAAAAGAAATATGGTTGTAATTTTCCTATCTCTTATAGACGTACTTCAGAAGTCCTTGTGTACCCAAATTTGAGCTCTGATTTGAGAATACACAGCAGAGAGGAAAATGGGGAGGCTGGATTGTTTTTTACATTTAGGAAAGCATTACACTGAAGTTTTCTGTTGTTTTAGCATGATCAAATATCTTACACGAATAGAATCAGTGCTGCTAGAAGTTGGCTGAAGATTAATGTCCAGTTTGTTTTTAGGTTCACATAGCTATCCAATGAAAAATTTGGACTGGACCTTTAATTGCTGCACAGAGAAGCAGCCCTCTGTCACTCTAAAAAAAGAGGATCAGATTTTTCCTCTGATACTGACATTAAAGCGGCCAATGAAAATTGGACTCTCAGGTCTGAGGGCAGATTTTTTTGGCCCAGATATTTTCTGAGTGAGTAAAATATGAGAAAGTCTTTGTGTAGTCGGTGCCTTGGGTTTTGCTTTTCAGAAAGTGTTTTATTTCACTGGCATGCTTTCTGCAACATCTAGTGAACAGTGATGGAGCCTGAAATAATGTATCAAGAAGAATTTTCTCCCTGAGATGAGGCTTCTCTAGTTGCAAGGCATTCCCAAGTGAGCTCCCTGATGAGTGATAGATGAGAAAAATAATAGGAAGGATCCTGAAACGTTCCAAGTTTTGCATGAAAAATGATAAAGTTTTTGGATGCTATGTTTGGTACCTAGCCTAGAATTCTCCTACGTTTTGATAGTGGTGCCTTCAGAATTACACAGTGAGTCATAATATTTGACATTTGGGGAGATTTTTACTGGACCTCTAAGCACTTGTCAAGACTGTTGAGGAGAATACTTTCAGAAGAATTATGATTTCCTTTGAGAATTTATGAAACTGTGCTTATTTTTTTAAAGCCTGTTTCCTTTTCTTCAAAACAAACAAAAAGAAATAGAAACTTCAAAAGTATGTATTGACCATTTTTAGTGAAAGGATAGTTGAAGGCATCTATCTGCACTGTGTTCAATTATTAAATGATTAAATGGTCTTCCAGAAATATTTCCTGTAGATCACTGAGGTCTTTTAACATCACCAGCCAGTTATTTTTTTTTTTTTTTTAATGTTTATTTTCACATAAGATTTGTAGTCCACAGGGGACATGAGGAACACCAAGACGATAAACTGGCAGTTTTCCAGGCATCTTAGCGAGTTCTGACCTCCTCGTGTTCATGTCTGTCCAAAGGCCAAAGGCTTCGCCTTGTTAGTATTTACGAAGGTCGGTGGGCTGTGTATTTGGGGATTGCTTAGTAAGCAGACCTATCTCCAGTTCTGACACCTCAAAATTTGTTAATAGTTGTCCCCAATGGCAGCTGTGTTCATATTTGTAAGACTTTATGGTCTCTAGTTGCTTTTGAGGAATAACAAAGTGCAATGGCAAACCTCACGTCCAGTGAATGATCTCTTTCCCAACTTTCCCTGGTTCCTATGGATTTTCAGCATTCAATTTCATTGGCATGTCCTCCTTCCTGAGCTGGATACGTTCATTACATTTGCCCAAGATTTGTCCAGGGCTGTGAAAAGACTTGGTAGCATTTAACCATGGTGGCTTCCTGGGATTCCTTGGATACAGATGGAATTTGTTTTCTTATTACTGATACTATGAAAAATAAACTGTCTGCTTCAGATTGCCATGCCAAACTTCTCTGGTATTGCCAAACCCAGCCCACTAAAAGTCATGAGGTTATGTATGGCACATGAATACAGGGTTTGTCCTGGTAGTACCCTCTCTTATGCCTCAGGGCTTGTATTCTTGCTCTCCTTTCTCACTTTATACTTGACAACTCTCAAAAGCAGATCTGTTAGAACAACTTAAAGCATACCTGTCTCCACCAGAGTCATCCTCAAAATTGTGCTCTGAGTCATGCCTGCCAGATCACAAGACTGTAAAAGACGGATGGTTTTGGTTTCCACTTTCTATCTGAATTTTGATCTTTGTGATTTGCTTGGCTTGTGTTTTCAAGTGTTTCTCTGTAGCCACTAGAGTTAGAAATGTAAGGATTTTTGAAAATTGAGTTTCTCCCAAGACAGGTAGAGCTGCAGTTTCATGAAAATACTGCTAAAATGTTGCCAGCCCACCACTGCTTCCCACATTATCCTTTTTTCCACACTATCCACATGGCTTGTTGCTCATGTGATGGTATGTATCATGTATAGGTACACAAAATATGCATAACCTTGAAACCTTGCAGATGTGGTCCTCTGATATAGCTGCATAGGGGACTTTGGGACTGTAGCTTTTGGGGGTTTCCATGTTGAGTGCACCTGACCTTTGTTTTTCCTGCAAGGCTTTGGGAGGTGTGGGGTAGGTTTCTGTTGGTTTCTTGGGAAGGCAAAGATTTCTGTGGTCTTTGGCTGGATCTCAAATCCTGGGGTACTGAAGTGTAACCTAATAATTTAGGATTTAGAGAGGGGTGGTATTTAAATAAACTATCTGGTTTTGAACATTCTAGAACTATTAATTATTGAAATTTATACAAATCCAGAGAGGTGCATGGCATGTAACAGACCAGACCTAGAAACAGCTGAGCTGAGTTTACATGTGATGTTTTTTTTTTTCTGAAAAGACATCATCTCCTGTGAACACAATAGAGCTAGTACTTTTCTTATAAATAGTGAATGTTTTATAATTGCATGCAGTCCTAAAGCTGGTTCCTATTATTGAGAGTCACAGAGGGTTTTTTTGGGGGGGGGTTGTGGGTTGTTCTTTTCCAGAATGATGTCCAATCACCTTTGGCAGAGTATTAACTACAGCTAAAATATGTTTCAGTGTGAAAATGCTATGGTCTAATGAGCAACTTTGCTTTTGTGTCACTTTTTCTTGCTTTGATATTAGAGGTTCTGGGTCAGGAATTGCTCATTTGATCCTTAGTCAGTCTCCAAGTGGAGTTTATATGTCAGTATCTTTTATACCAGCTTTTCAATTTCATGTGACAAACAGTACAGTCCCTGTAGGTCAAAGGAGCCCAATTTAATGAAGTCTCACGTGCCCTCACAAGCAATTTTGTCGCTTTCTGCTGAACTACTGAGCTGTCTCCATTTAGTGAGATGTGCCGTCCCTGAACATCATGGTTGAAGCTGCTTCAGGATTGTCCAAGTTGTGTTACAGGTTTATTGCTTTTTCTTCTGCCTCAGGTGAACTGTGTGATGAGGTGATTAACCACTGTGTTCCTGGTCTAAATCCATGCCAACATGAGTCCAAATGTCTTCCCCTTGACAAAGGAACCAGGTAAGCCTGTGTGCAGGTTGGTCTCCACACACTGGGCAGATTCATCCATTGGCTTGACTAGGGTTGAACTGGCAATGAGTTTGGGGTAAAAATCATCAAAATTAATGCAAATAGTGCAAGACTATGTATATTTCAGACCATGTCACATTTTAATTTTAATGCAACCATACATACTTTTCTAGCTTTCTGTGGTTTACTTGAAAATAATGGAAGTATCTCCAGAGCGGAGAAATTATTCTGGAATAGAGCATGGCAAAAGGAGTACTTCTGGAACAGTTAGTGCAAAATATCTTATCCTGCATCAGAAACTAAGGACAGTTTCCTTATGTGTTCCTTAGGGTATCCATCAATTCAAGCAGCATAACAGAAATCTTAACAGATATAACTCAGCTCGCCTCAGCCCATGCTGGCTCAGTGTTTAAAATCCAGTCCCCATGCTAACTACTGAGAAGGGAAAGATAAACTTGTGGCCAGAGCATAAAGCTGCAGGTCAGGAGTTTTCCGTTGTATTCCTACTGTAGCTGTTGTCTTCTAGGATGGCAGGAGGCCTTAGTGTGCACTGGCAAAGGCCAGTTGTGGTGGCAGTGGGGCTCCTCTCCCCACGTTTCCTCACATGGTAGGCAGCAGAAAACGGCTGAACTGGACAGCTCTCACTTGGGAGCTGCCTTCCTCCATTGCCCACAGAGGCGAGCCTCGCTCAGCTCATGTTAGATTTTGTGATGTCTCCTGTCTTTGCATTTGCGTATTGGGAACGATGCTAACTGTTCCATGGGGGCAAAGTAAAGCCTCATGTTTTAAATGGCAGCAAAACATCTGGAGATTTGGGGGTTGGCGTGTTTTACGAGGCGCATAGTAGCAACGTTCATCACTTGTCTGAAGAGGGAATTTCAGAGCAATTTAGCAAATAGAGACAGTCAATTGAAAAGTCAAGCTCTGTGGAAAGCTTGTCAAGAAAAGATCTTTGAATCAAAGCATTAAGAAAGGAGGACAAACTCAAGAGAGTTCTGTGCAGCTGTGAGCTGAGTTCTGCACTTCCCACTAAAGCTGTTTTCACAGCCATGATGAAATCCTGGGGGATCACCAATTCCCTCCAGGGAGGGAGGGCTGGGTTTTGGTGGGGGACGCCCTCACTCAGCACACCCAGCATGTCACAAGGGAGAGACAGTAGCACTCTTTGGTCTTCCAGGTAACTTGCAGTTGAGGTCAGATTGTGTTCTGTGAAGCAATCAGCATGTCAGAATAGTGCAAACTAATACACAGAACATTTCAGGATAGTTACAACTGCACCAAAATTTTAGAGATGCTGGCTATCTCGAGGGCAGCTGATTCTGTCAGTCTGTACAACTCAAGCCTTTCTTTTGGGTGAAAAACCTCCAGATAGAAATATTTCCAACTCTTGAGGAAAATTAAACTATTAAATGATTAAGACAGCTCCTGAAATGATGCACAGGGACTGGATAAGGAGGTGTGTACTGGTGCATAATAGGCCCTGATGTTCTTTCCAGCTTTCATTCCCAGTTAATCCATCATTCAGCTAGTCCAGTAGCTACATCATGTTACAAGGCGAAGGCTCGTAACTCAAGTTACCTTATGTTGCTAGATGTATGAAGGGATGGAGACAGCTGTGGTCCTCAATGGTTTTACCCTGGCTTTTCACACCTGCCACCCAAATAATTTCAGTAAATAAGACACTTTTTTCTTGCTTACTTGCTAAAAAAGTGTTCTTCACAGTGGGGCCATTAACTCTTGAGGGTGAGCCTAAATAATGACTCATGAGTATTTTCTACTACTGTTTGTTGTGTTATTCTTCCCACTACTCATAGAATGCAACACAAAAATCCAGAGTTTCTTTACTACTTCTGTCCCGTTTTGTTTTCTAGCAGGCTGTACTCTAGAGGTGAAGGAGCCTGAACGTAGATTTGTCCAAGGATTATTTTTTCTTTCATACTTGAGTTGCACCAAACCATTCAGAAATGGGCTGAGAGCCCTCAGCAGCTTTGGCAGTGATGTGTGGTTGCTGCTGGGTGTCACTGAAAACAACCACCTCCAGCCCCGTGCTGCTGTTGGTCCCTTGAGCAGTTTGATCTCCTGACCTGTGACGCACTATGCATTCAGCATGTCGTGGTGCAGAAAAATGCCACGTGCAGAACGAGGCAGGCTCGTGCACCAGTCCTCTGCTCTGCTTGCAGAGGTGGGGAATATTAATGGCAGGATTCAGGCTTGTGCCTGAGCTGACCATCCGCTTGTCAGGTTTGTGCCCTGGGCATGCGAGTAGGACACACCAGTGAAAGATACCATAGCAGCAAGGACACCAGTCAGTCTGTCTGTCCTACCTTCAGCTCTAGTCAGTCTGCAGCTCTGCAGAGGGAGGAAAAGATGACAAAGACAGGAAGAAAACAATAGGAAGCCAAGTTATTTGTTGATATGGGGGGGGAAATTCCATTTTGGCCCTGCAATAGAAGCCATGATTCACGGCTTTAATACAATAGACATTGAGTGCATGCAGATGCAAATCCCCTTGGATAGGTCAACATTTTAAATACCACTGGGCATGTTTTTAGGCTGTCTCTGATACTGGGAATGTTGCCATCACTACAAGGCTGTAGCAGAAAACAGAAGTTCAACTATACTGGTGTCAGATAGTCACTGGGAAATGATAACTGATCTAATCATGTAAATTACTCTCTTACCAGATTTGAATATGAAAGGGTTTTTGCCTCCTTCTTTGCTGCATCATACATTTGCTGGTACTCAGTCACTTGCTGGCACTATGTGGGGTAGGGCTGGAGCCAACGTGCCACCATTCCCTGCTGGGGGGAGGCCTTGGGTTTCTAGGAGGAGGCTGGGGGAGGCACTCGTGGCTGTTTCTCACCTGCTACACTCCAGGCATGCATTTCTTGGTAACTTCATCCTAGATGTGACACACTAAGAGCTCAGAGATGACTGACCCAAAAGGAATTCTGTGTTTCTAAAGGGAAAGCCAAGCTTGGAAGCAAACTGGACGATTTCAGTGTATGCGTGGCTGCACAGAGTTCTTTGCTTCCTAAGCTAAAATTGCGGGTGGCTTTCCTCACTTACAGTCTCCACATCTTTACTGTGCTGTTACTATATGTCCTGGTTTTTGCAGTTAAACTATCACACTATAGAAGAAGACTAGCTTTCTGTATGCCAGAAAACCAAACAAAAATCAACAAAAAAAAATTTAACACAATGAAATTACTTCTAAAAAAATAACTTCAGGAAGGGAGCATGTTTTTCCATTCACTGTATTGATGTTGGAGCATGGTATAAATATACTTTATTATTGTAAAGCTTGGAATTATTACCTGACAGCTTAAAATGCTGATTTAATGCAGCCCTGCAGAGAAAAGTGGTGGTTCTGTCATTACTGAGATAGCCAATACACATCATAAAATTGATGCATGGCAGCCCTGAATAAGGAACTGCACATCGTTCGTTATTACATCACTTTATATTAGGACTGCAGGGATCAATAAAAAGCAACAGAATTAAATGCTGCCAATTCCCCCCACAAAGTCTTTTGATTGACATTATTTGCTTGCAGGTGTGACTAAAATGTTGCCAAAAAATGTTGCCCACTTCTTATGATTTGGGGAAGGAACACTTTTTGCTCTGTTTTGTCAGCGCCATTATGTTAATCACAGTATTCCCTGAGCCACCAGTGTGTAAAAAAACAGTTCAGGCTTGCATAGCCGGAACATCAACCATCCTGTGGCTGCAGAGGGTCATGATGAGGGCGTCTCCTGTAGGGAGGATGGAGAAAGAAAGTGCATGCATCTACCTAATGCTGCATGTCCTACAGCTGGCAAGTTCATAGGCTTTGCCCTATTTCCTCCTTTTTTCATCAGTCACAAGCCATGTTTTGAAATGAAGACTGAAGGTCACATTCTTCTCAGTTTTTCAGCTAGATGGTTGCTGAAGACCTGATGCTGTGGCAGCTGCTCACTGGTCATTATCAAACACAGGACCCACCGTTGCACTCTGGCAAGTTTCCCCCAACTCACTGCCTTGCACTTGTACGCTGGCGAGAGGCCAGGAACCAAAACGTGCTGTCACTTGGAACCAAATGCAGCACAATGACTGCTGCCTGGGAAGTAGAAATATCTTTCCTCATGAGCTCCCATGTGTCCAGTTCCTCTGAAGAGGTTTTCATAAGGAGCTTCCTCCTGCACTTACCCCACTAGGCTGCTGGCAGGGAGGAGGAGGAGGCCAGCAGAATGGATTGGTGGAGCAGTAGTTTCTTGCCTAATGCCATTTCCCTTGACTTTGTGATGTCCCTCCTCTTCCAGCTCTCGGTGGCAACTACACTGGGTCCAAACAAGGGGCTCTAGCAAGAGCACAGACCTCTTTTTTGTTGCCAAAGTTCACTGTAGCTCTTCCCTTGTTTTGGTTTAAGTGATACTCCTTTTGTTTTCCAGATGTGCAGTAACATCCAGCTGGGAGGAGTAAAATGTGTTTTATGGACTAAAGTGTGTTCATGACTAAACATTGTCTACACTATAGATTAAAAAAGAGGCTGTTCAGCAATCCCAAAAAATCTGCTCCGAGTCAGAGATGTTGTGATGCATTTTCTGTTGTCAGGTTATAAACTTCTGCAAGGCTTATAATAGAAATGCTGATGTAGGCTTTGTACATCAACTTTGACAATTGTATAAAATAAAATAAAAAGCTAATGTCTGCAGGTTTGGGTGCATCTCATTGTGTTGCTCCTATGGATGGCATTACCCCATGGCAGTGGGTACATGCTTCGCCTGAGTGTCACCACAGGAAAGGATGAGCTTCAAAGACTATTTTCCATAGTTGCAGCAATGTTTGCTATGTCTTGCAAATGAATGAAAAACGGGTGATGGTCTCAAAACTGCTGGTCTTTTTCTTTAAATTTGCTGAATTTTATGGGTTGCTTGCAGATTGCTTCCATTTGGAAGGTAGAACCTTACTGTGTAGCTGCACAGGGCCAACCTCAGACACTCAGCAGCATGCAAACATTCGCAAAATCATAGTCTGAGACATCAGAGCAACTGCCCTTGCAGAATATTGCCCTTTGAGTCTGTAAGGTTAGGGAAGATGTTGTCATCTTTAGCATAATTGGGAGACCACTATATGATCACCACTCTCCACAAACTTGCCTGAGGGAAAGCTGTAGTTTGGTATTGCTTTGCTCAGCTTGAATTTAAGCAGATTGCAGAACCTCAGCTGCAGACAGACAGGAGGGACTGGAGCATTTCTGATGGCAGGAACTGTGCTTGATGCTTCCAGGAATAATTGCTAACACCTTTCTGACTCAAATCAGATTGGTGCTAGGCTGCCTATGTGTGCTATTGTTGTGAATGTTGAAACAAGATATTAACAACGATCTTCTTGTATTTCAGATGCGAGTGCTTGCCGGGTTACAGTGGAAAACACTGTGAAATAGATGATGATGACTGCGTGGGCCATAAGTGTCGCCATGGAGCTGTCTGCGTAGATGCAGTCAATGGCTACACCTGCGTCTGTCCTCAGGGTTTCAGGTACGTGAGAGTCCACTCCTCCCCCGGACTGTCTTCTGTACATAGTGTTGGGGCACTTTCTTTAATTGCTTTCATCCTCAGAGCTAATCAGCCTCCAGATATGGTATCGATCTATCATTCCTGTGTGAATGGATGGCTCGGTGCTTCAAATCTTGTAGCTGAAATAGGTCTTAATGAGTTAACTGAATATAGGGGATTGATGGTTCTTGCTTTGAAAACAGCAGTTTGCCTTCTGTGCAGAGCTGTGTTAGTTTGCCTTCCTGCTCTAGCCTTTGCTGGTAAAACACCAGGTAATGCATTCATATAAACTATATGGAGATAAAGTCTACGTGCACAAGCGTGAGCAAAGGATAATAAAATTACATACATGAACCCTCACACATGGCTGCCAGGAAACACGAGTCTGAAGATTTTGTGCCAGCACCTCTGTGCCTGTTGGTGGATGGGCTCAGTACGATTTGTGCTGTAAATTTCCAGTCTCTCATTCTGACAGCTGCCAATAGATCTGACTCCTGGAAATCTCGGTGTCTGTCAAAGATAAGTATACTGCTCCAAATGGATTCACTAATCATTACCTGAGGCTGGATACTGGCTTCCTTCCAGCTAAACCTTTTCTGTGTTTGAAATACACACATGAGACAAAGAAGGAGTACCTGAAAAGATCAGTCTTGACAAAGCAGAAATTGCATGAACACTTATAAATCATTTTCTCTGCTTTGTATCTGCAACTGTTTTCATTCTTCTTGCTTTCATCCTTGTTGTTTTTGGGTTTTTTTCTCTCAACACACATTTTTATTGCAAAGCAGACAGACTTCCCTGAATAGGCATTGATATGTAACATGATGTCAGCCCATGGTTTCAAAGAATTAGACTTGTTATTTACAGGATATCTGATATCTTCTGAATTTCATATTCATACCCTTTTCTCCATGTTTCATTCTCTGCTTCAATCCCTTTGATGGCCTTAGGGATCTTGGAAAGTGGTGGCTGGCGAGGATAACAAGTAGCTGTCCCACAGTGGAATTGTAAATGCACAATGTTATCTAATTGTTGGATTTGAGAAATGGGATTGTAAAGCCCTGTCTGGAGTCAAGGGTAACTCGAGCCTGTCATCAGATGGTGGTGACTGGGAGACTTCTGCTGCAGGTACCCTGATTTTTAAGGCATGTCAGTACTAGGCAGCGATGAATGTGAGGGGTTTTTTTTCCAGGAAGGCAGGGTCACAGTGTTTGGCAGAGATGTTTTGAATTGTAGCACAATTGAGTCGAGCAGTGGGGTAGGTGGGAGACTGGTCTGTTTCCCTTCCCATGTACCAAGCAGCTCGTCTGGCAATTTGGGCAGTGCCCTGGGTTGGCTGATCTCACATCAGGGACTTTAGGACCAAAACCTGGAACATCCCTCACTCAGATGAGGGGGTTTAAATACACTAAAAGTCCTCCAAGAAGGGGAAACATCTTTCTACACAAAGCTCCTGAACTCTACTACTAGCTGAGACAACACTTCATAGCCCAAGGTAGACTTGGGTGAGCAAAGTAATCTGCCTGTCAACAGCAGAGCCAGGATTAACTTGAGGTCTCCTGCTTGCTTTCTTTTTTTTTGCACTAGTCCATGCCACTTTCCTAAGTTTCCCATGCAAAATGCAAGAGACCAAGGGTCTTTTACGAGAAGAACACCACAGTGGGCACTTACAGGCTCCTTCTGCCAAGGCAGAGAGCAAGCTGAAGCCCATTGTGTTCTCCATGCAGAATAGTCCCTGATCTTGTTTGATTTCAGGATTAAAATTCTGCTAACAAAATATGATCTGCTCATTATTCTTTCCATGACTCCAGCCTTTTGTAGTTTAAAGGTCTGCTGCTCTGAAGAGGGTTCTGATTTTTTTTTTTTCCTTCTTAAGATTGCAATTGCAAAGATGGTGATTGACAGAGTTCAGCCTTCTGTTGTTCAGGGTTGTAGACTCAAGTGTTCACAAAGCCTGCCTCAGGCGCTGGGCTGTGCAGCAAGGAGATAACAGTGCAAGTTTTTGAATGCTGCAAGTGTTGATGAAAAGGAGACAACACAAGGGGTGGTCTGTCAAAGGTAACTAGGAGACTTAAGATGATAAGAAAGTTTTTTTTGTCTAAGTATCAAGAATGATTTCCCAGCAGTGAGTTTGCAGTGACCTCCCAGTTATCAGGAGCTTATGCTGTTGTAATAAATGCATAGACTTATAACAATTTTATGGTTGTCACCATGCTGTATGTCAAAGCCACTTGGAGTCACATATTAATAAGGATGTTAAAATTTACATACGCACACAGTTGAACAAATGGCACTCCAGAAATTCTTAACAATGTCAGGCCTCATATGCACAATGACACACCCAAAAAGCCGTGGTACCAACATGCACACACCTGTTTTGCCATCTTAGCGGTTCCTATTCACTGTTCATGTGTAGTTGTGCTCCACGCAGCACCTTTCCTTATCACTCAGCAACCTTTTGCAATTACATAATACACTTTCTTCCTGAAAAGTTTTCAGTGTTTTCTTAACAAAATAACATTTTTTTACCCCCTGGAGATGAAAACACTTTTTGAGAATTTGTGAACCCTGTTGGATAAAACCCAGCTTATCAAACCTTCCCTCTAGCAATCAGCCTCACAGTAGTATTGTCCTGATAGATGTTGCTCTAGTGGTGAAGCGCACATTAAGGCTGCTGAGCTTGATAGAAAGCACTGTTCCTCCATTGTGTAGATATTTCAGGTTTCCCCACTGGGATAGTTTGCTGCAAGAAACTCAGCAGTGCTTATTTAAGTAAATGAGATCGTACCAGGTAGAATGGACTTGACTATTCATTAAGGCTGTGCTCCACGTTCTGCTGCTGGGGAAATAAACAGAATTAATTATTTCTAAAAATATATTTTAAAAATATTTTAAAACAAAAAAGGAAAGGCCTTGGCAGATACTGTTACTAATTCAACTTCTTGATGCCAGTGGCAGGATAGCTGCACTTGTAAAGCCACCCACTGAAGGGGTTTCACAGCAAGGAAGGGTTGTGCAGAAACTGTACTGGGGGCTCAGGGAATCTTTCAGAGCAGTGTCAAGCACAGACACACTGGCTTCTTGCAACATTTGCTTTCTGTTAGTGGTTGCTGTTGCAGGTCGCATGGATTTTTTTATTATTATTATTTTTAACTTCCATGAAATTAAAATTACATACACTGACTTTCCTTCTGCTTTCTAGTTTTTGCTCACAGACAAAACAAAATGATTGGCATTAGGTAGAATAAAGCTAATGGACTGGGTTAGCAATGCTCCTTTCTGCTAGTTACCTATGGAAAACAAATTACACCTGACATCAGGCCAGAGGAGACAGCCATCTGTGGGGTTGACCCTAGTGTGATCCCATCACTGGCTCTCCTGACGTGTTGGCAGACAGCTGCAAAGCCCTCCACTGGAGAGAGAGATCACACACTTAATGAAACCAGGCTTTGAACAGGAAAGTGCTCCAGTGGGCATTCCAGTGCCTGGCTAGCAATGGGGACATGGTGCTGATGTTTCCTCAACTCATCAACTCTGGCTGGGTCCCACTGCTGTGCTGGTAGGCACCTACTGCAATAACTACCTTAAATTGGCAAGAATTGCTTTCTGTCTATCTATCTTCCCATGAGGCTGTTGCTATTTTTTAATAGTCCCATGTTTTCTTGGAAAGGGGGATCCAAACCAGCTCTTGCTGAGTGGTACTCTGCCCCCTGAGGTGCTGCGCTTGCCCTCCAGGAACAGGGTGGTCTGTGGGGCTCTGCCAAGAAGCTGCAGCAAAGGGTCTCACTCAGGAAGAGAAAAATCCCTTCATCTATAACTAATTCATGATAGATGTGTTCACAAAGAAATGTTTCCTAGAACAAATTTACTTTGAGAAACATATCAGACTGAGCAAAGACAACCATTTCCCATGTGTGGTTATTCCCTGACCCTGTACTGCCTGCCATGCTCCCATTTCCACTGCTGCCCACTGTACTGACCCTGTACGTCTCTTCCAGATACTCCTTGGAGCAAAGTAAATGTGGTTTATTGATTGCCAGCAGCATTGCCTGCCAGATTACACTTTTGAGATACATTTGTTTAAATTAATAGATTGGTTCGTCCCTCGGCAAGATTATGCTCTTCTGGTAGATGATATTTACCACTTGGCTGGTGGGGAGTGGTTTGCTTCCCTGCCCTTAACCCTTTGCTGACGGTATTAGCAGCATGTTACTGTGCCCACTTACAGCCCTGTGTCACCTGGGCAGTGAGGGGGGGAACAAGGGATCCCTGGTAACCACAGCTCCCTGGTAGCAGTGGGGGGTGGGCTTGGTGAGGCTGCCTGGGAAACATCACTCCAGTCTTGTGGTGAATAAAAGAAGTTTAGGGCAATGTAATGAGAAAAGTGTTGAAATACAATTTATCCTGAAAATGTTATCCTGATTTTTACTCTTATTTCTGTGGAACAGATTTTTGTTTGCCATACCCATGTCACCATGTACAGGGCCAGCATACAGATCTGGACAAAGTTAGGCAGCTGGTTAGGGTGTTCCATGCTGTAGAGAGGCTGTGGGGAAAGGAGAGCTATTCTAGCTCTCTTCTAGGTGCAAATCCCAAATGTTTGCATCTTTCAAGGCACTCTTCAGGTTTGTCTTTTGTAAAAAGTAGTAATATAAAACCTTGTGTTTCTTCTTTCAGACATGATAGAAAAGCAGAGCAACTCCATTGCTTTTGATGCAGTGCAGGATTTAGCCCATCTGTACTTTGTTGTGTATTTCTCTTGTCTTTCATGTTTCCCAGAGGCAGACCAGAGAACAGAGTGTGTTGGGAGAATAGAGACAGGGAGAAATGGGGATAACTACTTTCCTTTTTACATTTTGTTATGTGAAATTTTGCTGTCATTCCACACAGCGCTAAAGAAAGAGCTGCGGTATTCTGTGCAAAATTTCACATAAGAAAATGTAAAAAGGAAAGTCGTTATCTCCATTTCTTCCTGTTACAGAGACAGCAGATTGTGGTCTCTGTGGCTAAGCAAGATCAGTCTTGAGTATGTTATTTGCTGTTCTTACACATCTTCTATCGGTACTATTTACTGTAGGGTAATGGCTTGGGTTTCTATTCTAATTGTATCTAGGATGGTTGCCTAGAAATTCACTGAGCTTCCAAGGCTCACCTGCTTTACTGGAGAGGAGTGAGGTTTTTGGCATTGTTTTGCTTTGTTTTTTAAGAGTGCTATTATTCCACAAAGTGCTCCCTGAATGGCAGGAAATTCTTGGTGGGACAAGTGGGATTTCACTGTTCTAGGACCAGGCTGATGGGTTATTCACTCCATGAATGGCTCTGCCATAATCCTCTCCTGGAAAGCCCTCTGCTCCTGTGTTGACAAATGCTGTGTAATACAGAGAGACGATGCAGGAGTCTGAGCCCAAAGACCTCACTGCCACTATCCCCATCACAGCTACCCCCGCCACAGCTATCCCTGCCACAGCTTATCCCCACCAGAGCTTATCCCCACCACAGCTATCCCCACCACAGCTATCCCCACCACAGCTATCCCCACAGCATTCCCCGCAGCACAGCCTGATGCACGCTCCCTCTCACTAACTGCCAGTTTTTCATCATTTTCCTGTCTACTCATTTTGAAGCAGTCACAGAATGCAAAGAGTTTATCTTCTGTCATCAGTGCAAAAAGGGTTTGTTGGCTCTGGACAGTGGTTGTAATGAGAAATGTGGGGTATAGGTGCGGGAGCATATTGTGTGCAGCCAGGCAGCCAAAAAGCCTGGGCTGGTCCCTTTGCAGTACCCACTGGTTGCACAGGCACAGTGCCTATACTGGGCAGAGATTCTTCATTTACTTTTTGCTGTTTAGTCTGACACATGACATCACTGTCAAAGATGACCGTGACTTTTGCACTTTCTCCCTTTTCCCTGCTCCTTCTATGCTGGTGTCAATATTTCTGTGTAGCTGAGTCATTCCAGCAAGTAACCTGTGAAGTTGTGGCCGTGCTGAACTCAGGAAGGCAGCCTGGGGACTGAGCCGTGGCTGCTACTGGGAGATGTGGCCCAAGCCTCAGAGGTCAGAGGTTCTTACATGTGGGTTTTGCTCAGGCTCTCACATAGTTAAGACCAAACCACAGCACTTTCCTCCAGATCTGAATATTATTTGAGTTCACAAGTACTTGGATCTGGCATTTGATTTTTCAGTTACCTCTGACTCTGGGGCAGCTTCCTTTCCTTTGCATTTTTCTGATCCGTGGTCTTGCCAACCACAAACTCAGCTAAAATAAAGTTGTTGATCCTGACGCTGTTAGAAACAACCAGTTCAGGGGAGCTGCCCAGGAAATAGCGTGGTATCTGTGCATTGCTTCTGAGCCTAATAAAGCAGTTGCTCATCTGTTGATGGTACACTCCAATACACAGTAAAGCAAGTGAGGAGGTTGTAAAAAACTCTGAAAACAGAGGATTTTCCCCTTGCTTAAAACTTACTACGGCAGAGGTAGACTCAAGTCACAAAGCCTAAGATGGGGAAATCTCAGGTTGGGGCTTACCTGGCTCCCAGTTTTTGCCAGGAACCTCTGCACAGCACAGTGTGGGGTAGAAGCTAATTTAGACAGACTGCTGTACTTTGCAGAGCTAAATAACCAGTGCAAAGTGCAGTACAAATTGCTTTCAGTATTTGAGCTGGCTCATTCAGTGCCAGCATGGGAACTTCTGTCCAGCACTATGCTGTACAGCTTTCACACAGTAAAGCAGGCACATGGTGGCTGAATCTCAGAGTCGCTGTACCACAGTGGTACAATGTCAGCATCTGAAAATGTTTTCTTCCTTTAAAAAATGGTGGTAATCGAGACCACTTTTTCTTTCCTTTACTTTATATAGTGGACTTTTCTGTGAAACTCCTCCGCCAATGGTTCTGCTCCAGACGAGCCCATGTGATAACTACGAGTGCCAGAACGGGGCACAGTGCATCGTCGCGCACCAGGAGCCTGTCTGCCGCTGCCTCGCTGGCTTTGCTGGGCAGAAGTGCGAGAAGCTCATCACAGTCAACTTTGTTGGGAAGGATTCCTATGTGGAGCTGCCATCAGCTAAAATTCGCCCTCAGGCAAACATCTCCCTCCAGGTATGTCATGTAGAACATCAGTTGCCAGCCCGGTGCTCTTCTGAGCAATAAGGCATGTACATGTATATATTTTTTCATTCTGAAGGAACAGGGTCTATTGGCCAAGATGATGACAAAGTTAGAGTGAACCTGTGAGCCACTTGTCTGCTCTAAAATTACTGAAACGTTAAGAAGCAACTAAGGCACGACTGTACCTTTGTGAACACATATCCTGCCTCCAGAATCTCACCACTTTTGTGTTTCATCCTGCAGAAATTAGTGCTTAATGTTAGGACGCTTATTAAAAAGTCTGCTCTAAATGGCCTTTCCATACAGTGCTTACTCTTTTACTGTGCACATTCAGTAGACAAAAGGCCTGGGATTTTGTTACAGTCCTGTAGCTACACCTGAATTTGGGTTGAGGTCTAATGTTTAGAAGGCAATGGAAAATAGGTATCAAAGGTTCCGTGCCACTACTGTCATCTTTGTGGTTGTGCATCAAAGGTATTTTGGATACTTAGTCCCATATGATATTTAAGTGACTTGGAAGTTATTTGCATTCACAATCTAGTAAGCATTAAACTGATCTTTTTCTTCCCTAGTATCCCAAAATAAATGAGGCAATAGTTTCTAGCTTTATATGTGTTTTAATAAAGAGTCGTGTGGAGCACATATGACATGATACATAGCTTTCTTAGGCCACTGATTGTTAATCAGGACTATTTCTGTGCTAGATTCGTCCTGCAAATGAAGCATAACGTTTCAAAAGATGTGACAAAAAAATCATCCCTGTTTGTTTACTTTATTGCATTTATTTTCTCAGTTTGAAAAGACTATTCCACAGTTGGAAATCATATTCTAGACTTACTTGATGGAGTTTAGTTGTAGTTAAAATACTAATGTTAAGACTTGGGAGAGAGGACTGAATTTCCACATTAGGAATAGATTTTTAAAGGGTGGTTCCTGAAAACTTTATTCTAATGAAAAAAACCCTGAAATTAATATTTATCTTTTCTTTAATATCTTGAGTATACAGTTCATATTCATATGAAAAATGAAGCTGATTCATGTATATTTGAAACTCCAGTTTTTCTTCAAAATCCCCCTTTCTTTCATATCACAAAAGAGATTCTAAAAAATGGGCACTTTAAAATATGGCTCCCCATAGGCTCCAAATACTGAAGGTCAACTTTAAAGCTAAAAATCTGGACATTGTCTTCTTAAGTGTACAAAACACATTACATCAGCCATAACTTGAAGAATAAAACTGATTATTACAGAAAGTACATGCAGATGATGTTCTCACTTCTTGTTTCCCAGACTATTATTCTTGCATCCAGTAATTAATCACTAGTGAATTAAAATTAGAATACAACATTGATTATTAAGAACAGATAGTGGAAATCTTAGTAAAAGTATTCAAGGAAACAAAATTCTTCTAATAGAAAAAGGATAGTATTTAAATATATATATAAATGGAAACAGATTTTTAAATTTACTGTTTAGTTTCGTTGTTTAAAAGCCATTGTAAAAAAATAAACAAGAAATCTCAATAAATATGTACTGTGAAAATAACAGGCAGATTGCAGTAAAAAAATAACTTTTTTTCTCTTGTTTTTTTTTTTCTCTTGTTTTTTTTTTTCCTTTTCTACCATAAGGATATTTGAGAGCTGGAGACTGGGAAAGTGAAGTCCTTGTTTTTTGATTCAGTGTTCAAGATTATTTTTCCTGGGTGTACCTCAAAGCTAGAGGGACAAGGGATGCTCTATTCTTCCCGACTCTCTAAATGTCCCATTTGAAATCAGCATGACTTGCTAGTACCTTGGATTGAGTGAATAACTCAGGGTTATGCTAGGTGTGGGGACAGGTCCTTCTTTGTGTTCATAGAAAGTTGGTGAACAGATCAGCACCTGCTGAAATTTGGTTGCTTATAACTGTGACACACTCCTTCTACTGCCAGAGCTGATTTTCTAAACTTCCACTTCAAGCTGGGGTAGTGGCTGAGAAATAAATTCATGCGTCACCAAAAATACAGCAACGGTCTATTTACGGGGGTCAAATAAACTGCAGCTTTCATCTCCTAAAAACTAGTTCTCATTTGAAACAAGGGAGCCATCCCTGAGTGGGAGGCTTGTTGTGTATTGCTTGCCCTGTTTGTGTATGAGCCCACTCAATGTCACCAAGACCTTTTTGTGCCTCATGGCTCTTGCTCTCGTTGTTGCTCATAGATATGATTTATTAAATCATATTTGAATTGCATATATTATTTTAGTGTGATTTTTAATATAGGTTTATTTCTTTTTTTATCATTCTCAAGCAACCTTACCTGGTTATTAATGTTTCACAGGTAGCAACAGACAAGGACAATGGCATCTTATTATATAAAGGAGACAATGATCCTTTGGCTCTGGAGCTGTACCAAGGACATGTGAGGCTCATCTACGACACGCTGAATTCTCCACCTACGACAGTATACAGGTAAATAGCTACGCTTTACCAAGACAGTTGATTTCCAAAAAAAAGATGGAGAGGTAGGATTTTTCTAAGAAATGTGCATGGCAGAAGAACCTTTTCTTTTACTTCACTGTATCTCTTTTATGTATGTAATTAGATAAGAAATCAGAATAAATACTTATATAGAGTCTGCATGGTTAAAAATTGGTATTTATTGGCAATACCAGTGGTACTCTGGATTGCAGAAAAATGTTGTATTTTATCATCTACTGTAAAGATTTCATTTCTGGTGAGTGTTGTCCTTGAAATAGTTCCAAATAGTCATTTTCTTTGATGTTGATATTTAGCATTAATTTACTAGGACAGAACAATGACTGTGCAACTGAAGGATTAGTCTGGGTCAAATAGGAGGAGAAGAGCTGAATTTCTCTACAGGGTGAATATTTGTAGGAGAACTCTTACCTATATCAGTAGTAACTACACAAACTATGAAAAAGCACAAATTACAGAAGTAAATTCTAGGGCAATTTGACCTTCAGACACTTGACTTTTGGGACTACCAAACCCACAAGTTTTATTTGCTAGTCACAAGAAAAAAGCAAATGTAAAACTGAAACCCATGCACAGATGTGTTTCCCTAAGAAGGACAGACGTGCTGTTCGTGTCTCCCGCTGTTCCTTTAGCAGCCCCCTCCCCAAGTTCACTCCCTTCTGATAATTTTTAAGCCCTGGTGCTCCAGTTTGGTTTGTGCGAACATGCAGTTGTGACCACATGGAGCCATTTTGGATTCAGTGCCATTTCCTGGCATTGTGTATGCAGAAGAGCTGGATTTCTCAACCCACCTTGCTCTTTAAGGAAGAGCATCCTCTTAGAGCAAGTGAAAGGATGCCAACAAGTGTCACTAGCCACTTTTTCTGAAAAGTTTTCTCAGCACTTGATAAAACTTGAGTCTTCCCAGGAGCCTTGTAGCTGTGCATAGCTTTCTTTAAGGTGAATGGTGACTTGTTTAGGAAATGAGACAATTCTTTCTGTATAAAAGCAAATTAGGTAATACCAATGCAAGGATGTCACTGGGAAGAGCAGTAGGTTGTCCACTGTAGGAATGAGGAAAGCACTTTGATAGTGATTTTTACCAGCTGGGTAGGTGTGAAAAATTTCCCTCTGTGTGGCTGCTAATCCTAATTGATTTCATGTTAGAGCAAAGCTGAAGCTGTGAAACAGTTTTATGCCACTAATTAGAACATAGGGAAAAGCTCATTATGTGTGGGCAGCAGAGGGGGTGACGGATCGGTGTGGATGCTTGCTCTACGTTGTCAAGGCTAGAGCAGTGTGGTGACAAGAGCTGTTGCCACCACCGCAACACTTTATGGATCTACTGCCTTCTGGCAAAGTTGCCAGAGATGGTGAGTGGCAGTGTCCTCATTATTCCTGCGCCCTTCATATTGATCAAGGAGGAGGTCTCCATTCAGACTGACTCCTCATTACCATAAGATTAATGGCCTGTTCACTACATTTTGTGCTGTGTGATCTGTTGAGATGGGAAAGAAGCTGTTTAATACGATGCCCTTTCTGAAATGTCACTCTAATCTTTTATTAGTTTAAGGAGTGGAGCAAAATGGGATTAGCATGGAGCTTGATGGGAAAAGATTAGGTTGATTAAGAAAAACTGCAGCTAAAGAATGTCAAAAAGGGCCTCTGAATAGATTAAAAGACTTGTTTCCCTTAAGGGCTGAGGAAGGAGGAGGTACCTGCTTCTCTCCTTACAATCACAGGATTTAAGGGTAGAAGGCATGAGTGGATCTGGTTTGACCTCCGTATATGCCCTATTTGACTTTTAGCTAAAGCGTAAGCTCTGTTTGGCTAACACACAACTTCCAGTTTGGCACCGAGTTTTGACAGGAAAACACCAAATAACGGATAATCTCACATTTCCTTTAGTAGCTTGGACAATGGTTAATCATTTCCATTATTCAGGCATTGACCATAATTTCAAAGTTGTGTCACTAATACCTTCTGAATGTTTTAGAGGCTTTCTCCAGCGAAATGAAAGTCCTTTTATATCTGGTACTGGCTCCCATGAGTTTATCTGTACTTTTGTATTGGGTTGGCATGGCAAGGTTTTGGT